GAATGGCAATGGGAACAGGAATGGCAATGGGAATGGCAGTGCGAGTGGCAATGGCAGTGACAATGGCAGTGATGGTGGCAATGGCAATGGAATGGAAATGGCGGTGACAATGGCAGTGATGGTGGCAATGGCAATGGAATGGCAGTGATGGTGGCAATGGCAATGGCGGTGACAACAGCAATAGAAAGTTAACGTGAATGGCAATGGCAATGGGCATGGCAGTGACACTGGGCATGGGGATGACAATGGCAATGGAAATGGCAATGGCAGTGACAACGGCAATAGCAGTGGGAATTTAAATGGCAATGGCAGTGGGAGTGACAATGACAATGGCAATGACAGTGATCATGGGAATGGCAATGGGCATGGCAATGGGAATGGCAGTGGAATGGCAAATGGCAATGGTAGTGACAATGGCAGTGACAATGGAATGGCAATGGCAATGGGAATGGCAATGGCAACGGCAATGGGGATGGGAATGGCAATGGCAGTGGCAATAGGAACGATAATGAGGATGGCACTGGCAATGGCAGTGGGAGTGGCAATGGCAATTGAAATGACCATGGCAATGGCAGTGACAATGGAAATGGCAATGGGCTTGGGAATGGCAATGGTGGTGACCATGACAGTGGGAATAGCAATGGGCTTGGGAATGGCCATGGCAAATGCAGCGGCAATGGCAATGGGAATGGCAATGCCAATGGCAGTGGTAATGGTAGTGACAATGGCAATGGGAATGGGCATGCCAATGGTGGTGACAATGGTAATGGCAATGGCAGTGGCACTGGGAATGGCAATGGTGGTGATAATGACAATGACAATGGCAATGACAGTGACACTGGGCATGGGAATGGCAATGGGAATTGAAAAGGCAATGGCAGTGACAATGGCAGTGGCAATGAGAATGACAATGGCAATGGGAATGGCAATGGCAGTGACAATGGCAATGGGAACAGGAATTGTAATGGGAATGGCAGTGGGAATTTAAATGGCAGTGGCAGTGGCAATGGCAATGGGCACGGGAATGGCAATTAAAATGGCAATGGCAATGACAGTGATAATGGCAATGGCAATGGTGGTGATAATGGCAATGGGCATGGGAATGGCAATGGCCGTGACAATGGCAATTTCAATGGCAGTGACAATGGCAATGGCAATGACAGTGATAATGGCAATGGGCATGGGAATGGCAATGGCAGTGGCAGTGACAATGGCAGTGGCACTGGCAATGGCGCTGGGAATGGAAATGGCAATGGTGGTGACAATGGCAATGGCAATGGCAATGGGCATGGGAATGGCAATGGCAATGGCAATGACAATGACAATGGCAATGGGAATGGCAATGGGAGTGGCACTGGCAATGACAATGGCAGTGGCAATAGGAATGATAATGAGGATGGCACTGGAAATGGCAATGGGAGTGGCAATGGCAATGGCATTGACTATGGCAGTGGCGGTGACAATATCAATGCCAATGCCAATGCCAATGAACTTTGGCACACCAGGGGTGACCCCTCCGTGGCTCTGTGATGCCACCCACCCTTTGGGTGCCACCACAGACAGCGTGGTGACCTCTGGGAAAATTCTGCTTTTTTTTTTTTTTTGGGAATATTTCCCCAAACCCTTTTCTCGATATTTAACGGGATTTTCCCCTTTCATCCCCGCAGCAGAACTGGAATTTTTTGCAGCTTAGTGAAGTTTACCCCACACAGCATGAAAAGCTTGCAATTTGTAAACATTCGGGATCAAATTTTCCATGCTGTGCATGTGACTCAGCCCTCTCGGTGTTTTTGTAACGATTTCCACATTTCCTCAAATGGGATTACACGGCAGCCTGGCAGATTTGGGATTTTCTCCCTTTTAGTGCGGGAACATTAATTCCTTTTCACACCACCTTTGCTGCAAAAACCCAAACGGGGAATTAGGGAGGAATGGCCAAAACTGTCCAGGAATTTAACTTTGTGCTGCTTTTTTAATGATGTCAAAATTCCCATTGCCGTTGGAGTGAATGGATTTGTCAGGAAAAAGAAACGCCAAAATGACCAGGACGTCTCCATTTCCCTGGCAATGCAGAAGAGTCCTGTCCTTGATTCTGGGTTCCTGTTCCTAATCCCAAACTCATGTTCTTAATTCTGGGTTCCTGTTCATAATCCCAGAGTCCTGTCCTTAATTGTGGGTTCCTGTCCTTAATCCCAGACTCCTGGCCCTAATCCCAGATCCTGTCCTTAATTCTGGGCTCCTATTAATAATTCCAGAGTCTTGTCCTTGATTCTGGGTTCCTGTCCCTAATCCCAAATTCCTGTCCATAACTTTGGGCTCCTGTTCTTCATTCTGGGCTCCTGCCCATAAATCCAGACTCCTGTCCCATAATTTTGGGCTCCTGCCCAAAATCCCAAACTCCTGCCCAAAATCCCAAATTCCTGCCCATAATTTTGGGATCCTGCCCATAATTTTGGGATCCTGCTCACAATCCCAAATTCCTGTCCATAATTTTGGGCTCCTGTCCACAATCCCGAACTCCTGCCCAAAATCCCAAATTCCTGCCCATAACCCCAAACTCCTTTCCCTGATCCCAAACTCTTACCCATAATTTTGGGATCCTGCCCATAATCCCAAATTCCTGCCCATAATTTTGGGCTCCTGCCCACAATCCCAAACTCCTGCCCACAATCCCAAACTCCTGCCCACAATCCCAAACTCCTGCCCACAATCCCAAATTCCTGCCCATAATTTTGGGATCCTGCCCACAATCCCAAATTCCTGTCTATAATTTTGGGATCCTGCCCATAATCCCAAATTCCTGTCCATAATTTTGGGCTCCTGTCCACAATCCCAAATTCCTGCCCACAATCCCAAACTCTTACCCATAATTTTGGGCTCCTGTCCCTAATCCCAAATTCCTGCCCATAATTTTGGGATCCTGCCCACAATCCCAAACTCCTTCCCATATTTTTGGGATCCTGCCCACAATCCCAAACTCCTGCTCACAATCCCAAATTNCAATGGCAGTGACAATGGCAGTGACAATGGGAATGGCAATGGCAATGGGAATGGCAATGGGAATGGCAATGAGAATGGCAATGGCAATGGGAATGGGATGGCAATGGGAATAGGAATGGCAGTGATTATGGCAATGGCAATGGCAGTGACAATGGCAATGGGAATGGGCAGTGACAATGGCAATGGCAATGGAAATGGCAATGGAAATGGGAATGCCAATGGCAGTGGCAATGGTGGTGGCCATGGCAATGGCAATGGGAATAGGAATGGCAGTGATTATGGCAATGGCAATGGCAGTGACAATGGCACTGAGAGTGACAATGGCAACGGGAATGGCAATGGGCATGGGAATGGAAAGTAAACAGCCAATGGCAATGGCAGTGATTATGGCAATGGGAACAGGAATGGCAATGGGAATGGCAATGGCAGTGATGGTGGCAATAGCATGGAATGTCAGTGGGAATGGCAGTGATTATGG